AATCGGTCCACCTCCAAAGACTTGTCTTGTGGTCTTGTGGCTGAATAGTCAGAAGAAACTGCGCGGCAATCGCGATATCTTTAAAATTATATTTTGACTTCTTATTGGTTAAGATTCAATAGCCCGCTCTTATTATTGTCCAATCATATTTAATTCTTGTCTTTGTTATATTGCATCATTTCCGGTAATGATAAAACATGATTACAATGGTTTTAGTAATCTAATTTAATCACGTTAAATCAACATATGAAAAATGTGTAGTTTCATTATTGTTTGTTATTAAGTAAATTGTTCTTTATTCAATTGTGTAAATACAAGAAAGATGACTGAATTGTGTAGTATTAACTTATTTTGTTTGTGCAAATTCAAAAACCCCTCAATTCTCATTTTTTCAGTGCAGAATGAATATCTATTGATATCAATCACGTCTTTATCGCGATACATACTGCCACTGATTTATTTCAAGAGTACAGTCCCTTTCGGCCACCTAGATAAAAAAAAAACAAAAAAGAAAAAAATGTCACTTTCCCTTTGAGATCAGTAAAGTATTTTTGAATTTAAAAAAGTAAATAAGCAATGAAAGCTCAATGCAGTTTGAATTATCCTAATTAATTTGGATAATTATTAACCAAATTAATTAGATACCATGTCTGTAGTTCCCTTGAAGGGACTAATTCTTCTTCAGGGCAGACAGAGTGTTTTCGTAGCATAGCACAAGATTAAATTATGTCAAAATTAAATTGGTGCTTGGGATCTTTTAAGGACAGATATAATTTGAATTTAAGTTACTGAGTTAGCATTAGCTCCTGCTGAATATCGTGTACTTGTAGTTCTTAGTTTTAGTGAAACTAATATTTATGATTAGCAATAACTTGTTTTAGCTAGTGGCTCACCACCGTCACAATGCCTAGATGTTCTTTAATGCTTTTAGTTTTTGTATTTATGTCTTTTCTTGAGGCTTTTCCTCAAATTTAAACCGTAAACCTGTTATAACCTGAAGAGATTACGTGTTGTCCAACCTACAGGAATTATTTTTCTTATAAATGATTCATTTATTTTAGAGCTTTGTCGTCACCAGGGGTGCCTATAACTATGCAGGGTGCTGTGAATGTTTTCACAAGACAAGTAAAACTTTGTTCATGCAAGGAAACATATATGCGGGTGAGAAAAATCACATTATTTTACAGGATAGGCTAAACAAATTTTCCTTCAGAGGCTCATAGATCATCCAGCTGAGGCAGGTGTGTGTCTCTCTTGTTGCGTTCATTGGTGTGTTTTCACGGATGTGTAAAAGACGAGGCAGGAGGCGCCGTCTCCATCTGTTTTCTGCATCACGTTGTCCGTTTGTTGGCTCTCTGGGAATCCCATCAGTCTGTAACATCTCACTTATTCACACGTCTCCCAGAGCTTTTCTGCATACAGTAGATCAGTCTGGATCCCTGTTGGCTCGGCGGCGACCCGGCACATCCTCTGACCATCTCCACATCAGTCTCTCATAAATAAGCTGTTTCTGTCAAAAACGCCTGAGGGATACTTCACTGGATTCACTGGGAGAAAAGTTTATGTCAGAAAAAGAAGAAAATATTACAAACAAGGGATAGACAGCAAAAATTCTCAGCTTAGTAATAAATAATTTTAAGAAATAAATATAGATGTAATATTTACAACCCAGTATAATTTGTTATATAAGCATTTTAAATTTATTTTAACATTTAACCAAATATAAATGCTAGTAACATGCAAGCACAATGAATACAAAGTTCAACAGGATAATTAATATTTATTTATATTTTATATCAACATTTGTAGTGATATAAAATATTTGTATAATACAAATAAAAACATTTATTTATATTTTACATAAATATGTATTTTTATATTTTATAAGATAAATATATTTACTTATACAAAATAAATATTTGGATATATGTAATAAATACATTTTTAGTAATTTAAATACATAAATATTCATAATATATAATAAATATACATATTTAATTTTATTTATTTTAAATTTATTTACATATGGTTTAAATAACTATATATATATATATATATATATATATATATATATATATATATATAATTTTTAATATTTATATTTTATTAATCATATTTTATTGGATTTAATAGATTATTCAATCGTGATGCATTTCCAGCTTATTTTTATTTTTTTAATTATTGTACATGTAAATATTGCTCTCTTGAACTATTCCCCTTTTTTCCTATTAATTTAAGAGTGATTCCAAAAAATGCTTTCTTATTTAACAATTCAGTAAAAAAAAAAGTGTTAAAGAATTAATCCACTAAATTGATTTTGTTACATTATGAGTGAAAATATGCATCTATGCACTAAAAAGAGAAGACGACAAATCATGCTTCTTTAATTTATTTTTATATCAGTTGAACAACCTGTAAATCTGTTTTTAAATCATTTTAAAATTGCCCAAACTGGTTGTGTGGCTTTTTATTCATGACTGGGCGGAGAGATGAAACCCCATTCCTCCAGTTCTTCCTCTCCTCCCTGAGGCTCATGATGACCTTTTGATTTTCTCTGCAGATTACATCTCCAATTTAACTTCACCAGACCAGTAGATTAAACGTTTTCAGCCTGCAGCCACATTTATTCACATTTTTTGTTTGATTCAGTCTGTGAAGTAAAAAAAGAGAAAAGAATAAAGCAACGCTTGTTGCGGCTAACTGGCTTTTCCAGTTCAGTCCAAGTGGCATGAAGCGATGTAGAAAATGAGCCAGATGAGGAGGATTAAACCTCCGAGTCCTTATCGTCTCCGGCGGCACTGGAGTGTAACCATGGAAACAGGAAGCTAGCGGCAAACTTCCAAGATGGCCGCCAGCTTGTGAATGGGCGCATTCCTCAACGGCGGGGCGTCTGCAGCGGGAAGGAGCGGCCGGGAGCTTGTTTACCTCCACAAGGGCCAGTATAAATAGCAACCTCTGCTGTTTTAAGGGCTTCCTGTCCCCAGGTTTTCCTTATAACAGTCGTTAAATTAACAATCGCTTTCCCATCGGGGCTGTCGGTAGTCAAGCGGGGCTCAATCAAGAGCCGCGGCGTGTGGATTTTTAAAAGCCGTCAGGCTGCAGTCATGAAGCTGTTCCAGGTCACCTCACTCTCTTTCACTCCCACCCCGCCTGCTCATATCACCTTCACACTCTGAAGCCGAGCCTCAGCCAGCAAACAGCTTAGTGCGGTGACCACTCCCTCATCTTTTGGTTTCTAACTGCAAATATCAATCAGCAGGGCGCGAAAAGCCAATTAACTGCATCCTTTATCATTTCTTTTTGTCTTTAATGACAAAACTCTTATTAAATAAGAAATGCCAAACTATATTATTCTCATACGTTTTTCTGATTTTTTCAGAGCTATTAGAGTTTTGGGTTTTTCATTAGTTTCATTTTATTTGATTTTGACTTTTTGTTTGTCTAATTTAATTAGTTTTAATCAGTTTTTAGAGTGGGTATGCTAGTTTTTATTAGCTATTACTGGTTAAATATTTAGCTTAGTTTTTATTAGTTATAGTAGTAGTTAGTTTTGTCTAATTTTTTTGAAGGTCAAAGTATTGTGATGTGATTATGTATACATCAATTTGGTAATGAGTACTCAACAGAAGAGTATTCAGAAAAACAGATTAAATGTAAAATTAATTAACCTAAGTCGCCATTTTACAGACTATGTCCCCCTGAAATTAGAGTTAATGCATGTAACTTTGCCAGTACTAGTTGAAATGACAGAACAATTACAACTTAACCGACTACAACACATTCCTGAAAACCTCTCTCCATGAAACATCATGAAATATGTAATTTTTTATTTCTGAATTAGTGAAGTTTTTCTAACTACCAATGGAGGCTGGAGGAGTTACCATCTGACGATAAACATACACCAGATAAAGAAAAGTCTAATTTTTGCTACTGGTTTGGTTTTGAAAATACCACCAATTGGTTTAGGTCCGAAATATTTTACTTTAACTATGACAGTCGACATTATTATTTTCCCATACGGTTTTAAAAACTCCTTTATTTCACCTATAAAACTAGTTAACATGGTTTCTAGATGGATAAATAACCAAAACAAACTTCTGAAAAATCAAACTCCAACTTTTATATTCAGAAATACACAAACATCTTCCAGTTGGCGTTGTCAATAAGGACGCGCCGTCCGTCATGCTGCGTCTGTTTCAGACAAGGGCACCAAGTTGTCAGCGTGCATTCCTCACAACAGCAGATTTTTAAGATCGCATTTGTCCGCTTGGAGCGGAGCGCATGCCCAAAATGTTTGAACGTTTAAACTTATCTCATTGTGGCCTCTGGAAATGGCAGGCATTCCCACAGGTGTTAAAATAATCCAGGAACAGAGCTTCATCCCAGGCCGTAATCTCTGCATCATATTTCAGGCGTGCCATCATGCTGGTTTGGTTTTCTGGGCAGAGATAACGAGGCTGGTGTTTACTGGAGGACAGGCGTGACAAAATATCATTTATTTATTTTTACTGTTACCTTATGAGAAGTATTGATTTAACTTTTTTAAGTTATTGGCAATCTTTGTGATCATTTAGAGCTGCCGTTTGGAGTGGACCAAGAGAAACTGAATTGTCAGAGGATAGGATTAGAAATACATAAGTTGTGCTAATTAAAGGTTAGTATAGTTAATTAAAACTAACAAAACAACAAAAACAGAAATTGAGAATACGTTAACTGAAATAAAAACAGTAATTAATGGAGGAAAAACTGAAAAACTGCAATTATAACTGAAACATACTGAAATACAGATACAATCTGCTTCATTTTTGTCTTTATTAATCTATTTATTAGCTTTCTGAACTGATTTGAAATGGATGTTTTTACGTCAGCTGCCAGTAAATTAAGCGCTCCAGACTCCTGCAGATATGCTTGTCTGCTAAATTTTGGGGAAAAAACACCAGATTCAGTTGGTTGTTCAAGAATAACTGAATACATTTTTTGGAAATTGTATCTTCTGTTGAGGATTCGTTACCCAATCGATGTAAACATAATCACAATAATTGGACCTGTTTTAATTCTGCACCTAAAAGTTAACCAAAGTGGGAAAAAATTAAAACTACCACTAAAACTAATAAAAACCAAACTAAAACTAAACCTTAATTAATAACAACCACTAAAAATTAGCAAATACACTTCAAAGCTAACTGAATTAGACCGTCACGACAAAATAAAACTAAAATAAGCAATTATAGAAACACAACATTAAAAAAACACAAATCCCACAAGAAACCTAAATCATTCTTTAAATTAATCATCAATCTTTGTTTTTGTTGTTTTAATTCTCATTAAATTCATTTTGCTACTACTGAACTCCACTAATTATTCTTAAACGTTTCCATTCACCATATAGTTGCACAAATTGGAATTATGAAAATAAATTAGCTTAAGGTGAGCACAGGAATTTAAAAAAAAAATGTATGGAAATTGGTGTATTTCACAAAACTGCAACTCTTTTTTTCGCACCACACAAGTCATGAGATCAACAACCTGATGTTACTTCTGGCAGAAACAACAAAGAAGACAAACAGGAAGTGGTAGGAGGATGATGGTGCAGTTTGTTTTTAATGTTTTTTTGTGTGAACAAACTTGTGATTTTTGTTATAATCTTGGATCGTTTTGATTATTTCATTCTAGTTTGATTATTCTGAGTTCCTTGGTGTCTTTCTTTGGTTAGATCAGCCTTGGTTCTGTTTTACTTTAGTTCAGTCATTCTTAGTTTTTCTAAATCTGTTTATTTCTTGTTTCTAGTTATTACTTGTCACTGTAGTTTATGTTTCTTACGTTTAATTATTCTTTCGTGTTTGATTTATTTTCTCGCCCCTGTGCCACTCTCTCTCTCTCCCCTCACACTTTCAACCCGTTTCTAATCAACCATCTGTTTGTTTCTTCTTTGTCTATCAATAAAACTCATTCTCAGTTCCTCCTTGCTGGTTCTTTTTGTCAACTCCTGTTATTTCCCTGCCGTCATTTTCCCCTGGATTCCTGTTTTTGGTTTGACTTTGGCTCCCTGTGCTCCCCGTGATGTTTGTAAGTCTTCAGTTTTATTAAAGAACATTCATTATGACCCATTCATGCTCCCATCTCCGTCCTGCATTTTGGCTCCACCTACAAACACTTCATCACTATTTTAACTGCATTTCTTATGTAGTGGAAACACAACAACTGTGAAATGGTGGAATATCGACAAAGTAATGGAAACGTAATTACTGCCATCCAATCAGAGAACATAGAAACAGAGGATAGTGTATAAAATCTGGATTATGTGACTGGAAATTTTGATGTCTCCATAAGGTTCTCTATTTCCCAACAGACAGGCCAGAGATCCATGAACAATTTGCTCCATCCTGCAGGTCTCCTTGTCCCTCCCGGTTCCATAAATCTCAGATCCCCTTGGGGAAGACCGGTCAGACGGGAGTAAAATAAAGCTGTCTGAAAAGTCGACTGCTTCAAGTTACATTCGCTGGACAAATCTTAAATCAAGGCTGAAGCTCTGTAGCACTGCAGAGTT